TGGAAGGGGGGGGCAGGGAGTGGGGGGGAATGCAGAGAAGGGACCTGAGCTGCAGGAGCTCAGAAGGGCTTCACCTGTCGGTGGCCATCTTGAAAGAAAGAAAGAAAGAAAGACAAGAATCAATGACTCCTGGGTAGAAGCTCCTTTGTTAAAAACACAGATGACCAAGCTGAAACTACAAAGTCAAAATGGGCACTTATTTCTGCATGCCAGTAGGTAGCTTTGGATTTGGTTTTGTTTGTTTATCTGTTTGTTTTTTTGCTTTGTTTTGCTTTGTTTTTGCATTTGTCCCTCTGTTTCTGTCTGGACTCACATGGTGTATGTGAGTAATAAGCCTCTGAAAATTGGGGGTTAGTTACTGTGGACATATTGATGCTGGTGTGGCAAAGTCTCTGCTAAAATAGAAAGAGGGAGGAATACAATTTCAATAAGAGGAGTCTGTTTTTAAGCTGGGATGTTGAAGAAATCTCTCTCAACTGTAATTAACTTGTAAATGACTGATTTGTGCAAGTTAGATCTGTCGAATTATCAGACACAGACTGTTGCTCATGCATGCTTTGCTTTCATGACAATATTTATACAGAAAACAATTATATTATCAATCTACACATCTACCCTCCAATGAGATTGCTAATGCTGCTGCTGTACCAAACAAAGACAAATGGCGATCCACATCCTTAGCAGAAAGAAGGGTTTAAGTAAATTATTCCTTGACATTAATAGAATAACATGCGTCTTGTTACAGGCAGCAAGTTTGAAAAGGATACTGTGGCTGGAAAGTTGTTCAGATGGATGCTAATATTAACCGCTTCAGTTTGAGATCCTAGCTTCCAGATAAATATACAAGTGAATTGGTAGAACAAGACCAGGGTAGAATTTCCCCTTTACCTAACTCTTTTAAAGTAATAAAATTTCCCCTTTATTTAAGTCTAATAATAGTAATCCCAGATTTACTGGGGTACCACTGAAATCTAAAGCAAAAGCTTCCATTAACTTCACCTGGGCAGGATCAAATCATAAAAATATCTGCACCTATTTTCCTGTTCTTATTCTCACTCTTCCTCATAACTAAAGCTCATATCTCTCTAAGTGAAGAATTGTATAGAGCTACTACATCAATACTTGAAAGAGCATGTATGTGTATCTAGGACAATGGTGGTGAAACTTTTGTCCTGTGGGCCGGATAGGCAGTGCTCATTCCATCCCGAGGCCAGATCCTGTCAGTGGGCCCTACCCGGTGCATGAGATAGGTGTGGCAGGGACCGATTTGGCTGTGTAGAGGGGGGCAGGAGGCATCCCAGCCCCATCCAGCCACATGGGAGGGAGAGGGCATAGCCCAATCCTAATCTGGCCTTGCACAGGGGAAAGGAGCATGGCCTGGCCCCAACATGGCCTTCTGGTGGGGAGAGAGCATGACCCAGCAGCAACTCAGGCCCCAGGGCTTGGAAATTTGGCAGCAGAGGAAGGGTAGCAAAATTAACTGTCACTACTCTATACTTGTCAAATTTCCCATCCCATGGGGAGCCCCACAAGCCAGATGCCATGGCTCTGTGTACCAGATTTGGCCCACAGGCTGAGCATCAAGCACCTCTGATCTAAGAGAATCATAAGAAAAAAAAATTGCACTGCTTCTAAAGATAAGAAAAACTCTTAGGCTAGGGACAGAAGTTGAGCATAAACCAGTTTAAGTCATCAGAAACTGGTTTAAACCAGTAACAGAACAGAAGTTCAGTGCACATAAACCAGTTTCAAAATGGCTGAACCTAGTTTAGGATAAACCTAGTTGAATGTAGTATTAGACTTAACTGATTTGGGTCAAGCCAGTTTTTGAAATTTCTGTCCCAGACCTGTCCCTGGTTTAAGTTAAATCAGAGTCCCCCAGCATCCCAGCAAGCTTTCTACCCATGGGCTGGCCTGTGCTGTCTGCTGCAACAGAGAAGGGTTAGGGGAAAGGTAGACAGGGAATGCCCACCCCCAGCAAATTTCAGCTGGGGTCTGAGGCCAGGGAGAGGGGATTAAACCCCTTTCTCCCAGTTAAAGCCCCTATCCTCTGAGTACAGAGCTGCCCTGCCCTGCTAAATTTACTGAAAATTACTGCTGGCTGTGACTGTGGACTACGAATCCCAGAGGCACCTGGAAGCAGGAAGAGAAAATGATGTGCAACCCTGCAGGGTCCTGCTGCTGTAATTCTGGACTGCAAATCCCAGAGACCTCGGGGGCAGCAGGAAGAGGAAGTGAGCACACAGCCCATGCTGGCTACATGCCAGAGACCTGTGCTTTGGCACCCCCTGGGTTTTGGCCTGAGCCACTGCAGATATGTGGATATATTTCCTGAATCAAAAGTTAACATGTGTCCAGTTTCACAGTTTCATAGTGTTTAGGGCAGGGGCAAAATACAGCCCACCAGGCCATTCTATCTGGCCCACGGGGCCTCTAAAATTTTTGAAAATAAATATTTATCTACCCCTGGCTCATGTCAAAGATGACAGGGGCAGGACAGCCCCGTGTGGGCTGGAAGTAGCTGCAGCAGGAAGTGCCGGCCATGAGGAGGGGGAGCAGCTGCTTTTCCCTTGCACTGAGCAGCAGTATGTTCCGTGCCACTGCTGCTCAGTCCAGATGGGCAGCGTGGGGCGAGTGGGGTCAGGGCTGTGCACTGGTCCCTGCCTGTATTGCAGGGCTGGGGTGGGGTCACTGCGAGTGAGCTGACGCGCGGGAGCCAGTGGTAGCCAGTGGGAGTGTGGGGCCCACACCAGTGTCCTGGGTTCAGTGCCGGCGGGGCCCAGAGCAGGGGCTGACCCAGCTGGCAGGGGCTCTATCGGGCCAGGTCAGCCCCCCCCCACTGGTGCAGCCCAGCCTGGCTCCACAGACCCCTGCCAGTCCACACCCCATGCTCCTACCACCCCACTCTGGGCCCCACTGGCGCTGGCCCCAGGCCACTGGTGCAGGGCCCGCACTTCCACTCGCTTCCACTCCCCCGCCCCCGCTGCTTTCTCCCTTTCCTGCCTGCTGGCCACAATGTACCACATGGCTCCCATACCCACATCCATACCCCCACACACAAATCCATGCATCCCCACAAGTCCCCATATGCAATCACTTCTGCATATACAGCACAAACACACAGATCAGAAAAAAATATTTTTTAAATTAAATTAAAATATATTATTATGGGTGTTTGATTTTTAGTATGTAATTTGTTTTTCCCCCCTAAGATGGCAAACCCTTTCCCCCAAAGGAGTACTTCCAGGTAGCAAGGGGAGGGACTTCTGATGGCAAAGGTCAGAGGTTAGGGGACGGGACTTCCTGTCCCAAGATGGCAACCATGAGGTGGGGCACCTATCGAGGGGCAGGGCTACCCATGCAGACCTTGACAGCTTGCCAAAACTGGATACGTGGCCCTCTGCCTGAAATAATGTCCTCCCCTCCCCCACAGTTTAGGGTCTGGAAGGGACCTTACAGATCATAGGGTTGTTTCTCAGTTTAATCTCTGCAGCCTTGACTAACCACCAAAGACTGAATCAATTCAGCGTGGGGCTTTTTGACTGTCTGTACTTAGCCCAAATGACAATTGTAGGCATGTCTAGACTAGGAAAATGGGTCATGTTTAAAATTGTGTTAGTGAAAATGTGCTAATCTGTTTCAAATGTTTGTAGTTAGGCTTTAACCCCATTTTAAAAAACATGATAGTTTCCCTCAGGGGAAACTCTCTGCAAAACTATTTAAAAACATGTTAATGTGTTAACTTATTATCAAACATGACCTATTTTCAAAGCCTAAACAGGGTCTATGTGTGGATATCTATGTGTGTGGTCTCTTAAGTTCTTTACACTGAAACTTCTCAGCATGTGCTGAAGAACAGTTTATCTCATCTCAACTAGAATTTTAGGAGACGGACTAAGCTAGCTAACTTGATCTAACATCACACCCTTAAATCTCAGCCAAGATAACACCTTTGACTTCACTTTTGAAGCTATTTTCTCTCTTTGGCTTGTCTGGAAGATTGGGTAGAAGAAACACTGCAAAATCAATCACTCTGCATATTCAGTAACAAAAAAAGTTTATTAACTCAGAGATGAGTTTGCCCTGTTGTCTCTTGTCCCCTTGTAGAAAGTTGAGATCAGTTAAACTCATATTTCTGAAAGTAGAAGTATGCATCAGTACAACCTTAACTCTGCTCCCCACTGCTGGCAATAGCCAATGGGACTTATCTGCCTGCATTCTGTCTGCTTTAACTGCATACACTGAACGTTGGAAAGATCATTTGGAGCAGCGTGGCAGAGCTGTGATTGTGATGTGAAGTGATCCTTGTGGTTCCTGCCTTTCAGGAAGGAGTGTGCCCCTCTGACTGACCCCTGGGTGTTTTCTCAAAGACAAACAGTGTGTATTTGTAGCAAAACCCCCAGTTTTTGTTTTTGTATTTAGTTTAAAATGCATTCCCTCCCCTTCCCCAACCATTTCTGACTTTTTCTCTGTCTCTCTATTCCCTATAGATATACGTGAGCTCAGACTTAGGATAAGCTTTAAACATTTTTGTTCTGGTAGCAAGTTTTTGGTTTTGGATAAATAGTAAATTCCATCTCCCCTTTTCTGCCACCTCTCAGCTTCTCCTTGCTTTCCTGCTGTCCCTGCTGCTTTTCCTGCGATTTTCTGCTGTCCGTATCTCTGTTTTCAGGCTTCCCCTGCACCTTCTGTAATCCCCCCCCAGCTTTACAGCTCCACTTAGCTGTCTTGCAGTTCGCTCTAGCAGCTGGAGCCTTGCTCCAGCTTCCAGCACTTACTACTTCTCTAGCTGCCCCAAAGCCATGCTCTGGCTCCCCACACCCAGAGCCCCTCTTTAACACCCACACTTTCCCTTAGTCCCATTTTTCCCTCTCCCCATCTACCTTTTCAGCTTCCCCGTAGCTCTGGCTCCAGTCCCAGCGTATGTGCCGACATACTTCCTTGTGCTGCAGGTTTTGGGCGTTGGCTTTTAATTGATTAAGATCAATTAACCTAAAGTTACCCCTGAGCCTCAGTTCTTCAGCCCAGGCCCCTCTAGTCTACCAGTTCTAATCTCGGTCCTGGTGGCTTTCATTTCCAGTAACTTTAACTCCTTACACTTCTACTTTCTTACCTTAACCTTTCCCCAGGTATCCCAAGTACACCAAGCACATGCATACGTACACATCACAACACCCAACTTAGGAACTCACTTGTGTGTGTGTGTAGGTGG